ACACCAGCACAGCCGATATTCTTTTGAGCACCAGCTATAATACATCCAAACTAGAAACAGGGAAATGACGATAAGAATTCTATATGAAAATTTTGAAACGAATAGGATGAAACAAAATTCTTGTACCTTTGAAACATCCACTGGTCTGGTCAAAAAGTTTGAAGACATATCACAAACCAAAGGAACACCGTTTGTCTCGGGTATAAAATCAAATTCAACACCTAAAGGAAGGGCAAAAATAGTCGGTGGAGCAAGTGGACAGATTCAGTTTAAGCCAGAAATGGATAATAATCCATCACGACACATCATCGGAACAATTTTCTGTCTTACAGTAAAACAAGACGAACTATCAAGACAAACTAGCGTGATTTTTGTTAGGAACAAACATTCAACAAATCATGCATAAAGCTGGGTTCGTACAAAACTTGAGAATCCTTGAAAGTCCTTGAATTTGGAAACTAAAACTCAAGCTCCTTGACTTTATAAAGAAGCGCTTGAAAGTCCTTAGATTGTTCTTGCTTTTAGTGGATATTTTCTGAAATTGTTTGGCAGTAAGAATTGGACATTTTGTAAATTGATGTTGTTCATGTTTTAGAAAGGCCAAAGCTATTTGAAATTCATTAAAGTTGCCGTTTGAGCAGTAGTAACATAAATCGAGTACAGATTATTAACATCATTACTGCATCGTTTCAACACTACAATTGCAAAAGGTTATGTCTTATGATTATGAAATTAGAAAGAATATTTGGAGGTCACCCCCAAATCGGCATGAAATTTTTAACAAGGGGGGCTGAGCTCCAAACAAGGGGGGCTCATCTTCTACACCTCTGGCTGTATGGCCAGGACTGAACACTCCAGAAGGGTGCACTACACCAATGCATGTGTTGCTTGCCGAGACATTTGCGGCGACCATGACTACTCACCATGTACAGTTTCATTAGCACAATAATAAACATAAGAGGCGTCTTTATTTAATTTCCACTCTTTCACATCAGGAATGGCTAGAACAAATAAATGCTCAATTTACGACTGCGTGTGATGTGTGAACGAGTTACATTGGCCAAATGATGATACATTAATCTTTTACTGGTCTTAAGTCTCTGTCCTAGCGAGTCTCCATACAGCGAATTCAAGAAAGAGAGGTTTGCAAAGGACAATCTTTTTTGAATTGGCTGTATACTAGCCTGAGCTCTATGTATTCTACTGCAGTACATACACTTACTGGTAAATGCCTTAGGTTTTGGAAAGACGTAATTGACTTGTCCATGTTTTGCTGCCTGTGTTGAAAATATACACATCTTATTAAGTATATATCCTCTAATATTTAATATGGAGCGCATGTCCAGTTGTGAAGACTCGGTTCACTCTTGGCTTACCTCATTAGCAGCTTTAGAAGACCATGTTCCAGTAACCAGGTAGTCAGCACTACCGCCTTCTGAAAACAAATCCAGTATACTCATGAGCATGCTCATTATAAGCACCATAATCCAGTATGCTCATGTCATGACCATGCTCATATATGTACCAATAGACAATTGCAGAATAAAATTGGAGCTGTCTGCAAGTGTTGCCTGGCCATGAATTTCCTTGCATCACTTGAAGCCACGACAATGAATTTTCTAGATCAAAATACACCAACACTAACCTTTCATCAGATTCATTGGCACAAATGAAAACTGTCCATATCCACCACCTTGGCAAAATATGACCTTGTAGTTGCTGGGAACATCCCTGCATTTCATGTGCAAAAATCAACTAAATTAGTTTAACAGTTAACCAATAAGGTCACTGGACATTATGCTAGTTTTACTCACAAAATTTTTCTCATGTTATCTATCGCTTCTTGGTTCAAAGCTGTATATTCCTTTGACCGATGACTGAGTTCTGGCAAAATGTTTTAAAATGATAATGATTTTACAAACTAATAAAGTTTGCAATATTTCATGGGTATGATCAAGGCTATTATATGTTTAATATTATAGGATAACATAAAAAATGCATTTAAATTAATAAGCAGCATCAGTTCCAGTAATCTTACCCAAAACACTAACACCAGTACTTTCATAATTTAAAATTTCTTTTTGTGCTTGGATAAGGACCTATAAATAAAGACTAGTTTGTGACCATGTTTATTAAACATGATGATGTCATCGCTGTTTTGATGTTGTGACGTCATCTTCAAGTATGCCACGTTGGCTATAGGGCCTTATTTTCGTGTATGTGAACATTAGTTAAGCCCAACATTGCAATCATGAAAACGAGGCTCTATAGCCAAGGTGACATAAATCCTGGAAGCGTGTATTGAAGTATCGGTAGTACTGGAGACCGGTGACCCCTCCCCCCACTTTTTTGAAAACAAATATAAATATGCCCTTCTTTCAAACAAAAGTGCCCATTTTAGATTATAAAATGTACTCTATTTTAGATAAACATGTTAGATAAAGATTGCTAGTTTTTAGGAAGTGTAAGATCAGTCATATGAACTGAAAATTAAGACATGGCACTAGACAATTGGACAGTGGGAAATTTTAAATTAATTATTAATTTAACACACACTCACCGCAGTGGCGTAGCTAGGGTTTACAAAGTGGGAGGGACAAGTTGAGCGCCAATGGCGCGACCACTGTGGGGGTTCCGGGGGCATGCTCCCCCGGGAAAATTTTAAAATTCAGAGCCTCTGAAATGCCTTTTTCGTGCATTTTTGGGGTGTGAAATTTTACAAATTTCAGCAGATTACAACGTCATAATTCGGTCAAGAATGTCTGCGTCTTCAGTTATTAGATTGCCGAAATAATAAGCTGGACATGAAATCGGATCAGTGTTACCCCCCCCCCCCCAGTTTCTCAACGGATATAAACATATCTCGAAGGTAGTTGTGAAGGAGAGTGGGGGACTTGCCCCCCAGTCCCCCCCCTGTGGCTATGCCACTGATTCCCCATTTATCTTTTCTGTTTTTCGTTACTTTTTGCTTGAAATATAGGTTCATTGAGGACAAATTTTAGGAATAATTTTCAGAATGGAGGAAATGACTTTTGTGCGGTTCAAAATTCAAATTTTCCAGGGGGAAATCCCAGAGTTTCCCCAGGGGCCAGGACCCCCTAGTTGTGTGAGGTCAAGGAGCCACGCCACAGAATAAAGACATACAGAAGGTCGACTCGAGTAACAGCTACCACGCCATGATTCTTCATCAAAATGCTGATGCCATGGGCCTCAGTGTGCTTATGAGAGGCATTACCCCCCTGGACATCCACCATTTTGAATATTTTCAGGGGGTGAATGCCTATCAAACATGCACTGGCTAGGCCCATGGCGTCAGCATTTTGATGATGAATTACGGTTACGCCAAAATCATTGGAAAATCATAGGAAAAACCAAGAAGTCAGGCTTCTGTCAGTCATATTATATAACATACTGTATATAAACACTTAAACAGACTAGCTATTATAGTTTATCAGTACTGATGAGATCATGAGACCATCACCAATGTACTAAATTTTTCTATATTTATAATCTCATTCTATATGCCATACAATTTAATCTAATGAATTACATACAAGTTTTTTTCACACTTAAATATATCAATAAACATCACCATATGACCCAAAATTATCCGCTAAACGACGCTTATGTATTTAAGACTTATATACATTACCTCCTGCGGTAGCTTCGCTGGTCCAGGGGCAAAATTGATCACTTTTGTCTTGTTACCTTTCACCATTTTCACCGCTTGTTTGGCAATAGACGAAGAGGCAATGACAGGTCGAAGAAAAATTCGTGTAAATAATCCCCGACTTAGTAAACAATACGTGCAATAATGCACGAAGTCCATGAAGGTAAATTATTGATTTCACACGTGTACATGATTGTGATTTCCGGCAATTTTAAATAATATTTACATTTGATCATGTACTCGTTTTCTCATTGGTGTATCAATATGGGGTAAAAGACCTGCCGAAAATGCTCATGTTTTGTGATTGGCTTTCAGAAACAAAAACGATCATTGTTCGTGACACGTTCTTTTAATTAATTTTCATAGTTTTATTGTCTTTGTACTAGGCCAATGAAAATTGATATCATGTTTCTCGTCCACAATTTTCATTTTTCATTATTTTTTGTATTTGAATTCTGCTTGTCAATAATTTCCTTGACCCATAAAAATCTGAAGCAAATCGGTGTATAATTCATTTTAATTTAATACGTCCTACTCTACAGTATATTTCTACACATACCATGAAATGAAACCTGACATGAAAAATAAAGTCATTCTTGCGAGTAATGACTTTAGAAAGATTTGAGTTGCGCTTGCGGAATGCAGCAATAAGACTTTGATCTGGAGATCAATTTGGTGTTTTGTTAAGCCTATTTTTCAAAAATAATGAATAATGAAAAATTTTTCTTGCGGCAGATAAATCCCATGCGGGCGGGGACGAGAAACATATCAATTTTCATTGGCCCTATTTAAATCAACCAACCACATTAAGTATAGCGGGAAGATGATAGCCCCATGATATACGAAATGCCGGATTTGGATGCTCCACTTCTGTTCCAGAACATTTGGAACACTGTTCTGGAACGATATGAAATAGAGTGCAACGGTGTTCTGGAACAGTGTTTCGTTTAATATATTAATATATGCGTGCGACCATGCATTACTATATAATCTTCTATATTCATCACAGTTATTCGCATATAAATCGCATAATGTTTGCTGTTATTTGTATGCTTTTGCAACGTTTTTACTCGTTGATTTTGCCCAACCCTGGCGTTCAAATAGCATATATTAATAGACTTAATAATACGAAGTATATGTCGATATATAGCGGTTTATATTAAACCCTTCAAAATAACACACATCTTGTAGCAAGCATGGGCGTACCGGAAGGAAAAAATTAGGGGGGCGGAAAAAATTAGGGGGGGGGGGGGCGGACTGCTTGTCCCAAGTTGTCAACCGGACAAGTTTGGAACAAGCTGTTAACAACTTGTAACAAGCTTGATAGCATTATCAGACTTGTCGCAAGGTTGTTCCAACAAGTCCGATACAGACATGACATAACAATATTGTTACAACCTTGTGTCATCAACCTTGTAACATTCTTGTTATATCATGACTGTATCAGACTTGTTAGAACAACTTCGCTACAAGTCTGATAATGCCATCAAGCTTGTTACAAGTTGCTAACAGCTTGTTTCAAACTTGTCATTACAACAACTGGGAACAAGGCAACAAGTAATGCGAACACAACTTGTCGACAGCTTTTACGTGCGTACCCGGTTACAGACCGGTTACAGAGACCCGATCGAAGGTCAGATGATGGACTTCAACCAATGATATCAATGATTCCAACCAATTAAGGTGGCATGATCGGACTTTGGCACTTGAATTTGCCATATTGCCTGATTATAAATGCAATTACACGCGCGCGTAAAAATCTCATAGCCTGTCAACAAGACGTGTCATGTTCGCACGTCTTGTTCCCAGTTGTTGACAAGTCTGCAACAAGTTGTTATCATTCTGTAACAAGGTTGATGAGGCCAACAGACTTGCAACAATTTGTTCCAACAAGTCTGATATCGCGTCTGCATGTAACAAGTTGTTAACAAATTGATGACAACAAGGTGAACAAGCCATATAGCCGAACTTGATACGAAGGCCGCCTGTATTAGTCTTGTTGGAACAACTTGTTGCAAGTCTGTTACCGTCATCAAATTTGTAACAGGTGACAACAACTATAATTAGCCATTCCGAAGTTGATTCCGAAGTTGATGAGTGGACAGGGGGCGAGTGTTAAAAAGTGCCCAAATTAAAAAATGAATCAAATCACTAAAAAGAGCACCTCAAAAATAGTAAGTTTACAAAGTTTGAAGACGTTTACATGAATACCCTTCGAATAACAAGCTTTCGAAAATCGCGATATTTACTGTGAAATGTATTGTAATGGACGCGCGTCCCAAAAACAATCTTTTAATCAGTAATTTCACAATTTTCGAAAGCTTATTATTCGAAGGGTATTCGTGTAAACGTCTTCAAACTTTGTATACTTAATACTAATTTTAAGGTGGTCTTTTTAGCTATTTGGTTCATTTCTTAATTTGGGCACTTTTTAACACTCGTCCCCAATCCTCTCATCATCTTCGGAATGGCTAATTGTTCCAGACTTGTCACAACAACTGCGAATAAGCAGTGTGAACTGGCACATTCTAGATCGGATATCGGCTTGACAACAACCTTGTTACAACTAATTGTTTCCAGATCTGCCAACTTGCATGTTTTTTTTACGTGTGTTCCTGGAAAATAGGAACGAACCTCTTTGTGTATTTGGCTATTTGCTAAATTATGTGCAATATGTCGTGCGTCTGAACAAAATAATAAACAACAATTTGCGATAAGTGATGCAATCCTGTTTCACGAATTAATATCCCCTAATCAGTTTAAATATTAAAGAAAATCAGTTATTACTGCACCAAAATCCCATTCATCACTGCACAAATTGGTTATCACTGCAGTGACTGCACCTATTGTAAAATAATCCCTGAACTACACATTCAACATGTGTGATTCAATATCACCCCACATTGATTATTGTTCGATGGAATGATTGTTGCCGGATATGTTTGACTAAACTATGTTTGGTAATATGTTGCCGGCTGATATTGAAAGATGTTGCGGAACTGATCGGGGTTGAAGTTCCTTCACTGCAAAATAAACAATTAAAAACTTCAACTAAACTGCCACTTGTCTCATACAGACAAGATTTCATTTATAAATAAGTTATTGAAAGACACGGCAAATCACGCGACAAACTTGGACAATCACGCGAAATCATGAATTGTTCTACAATTACTGGTAATAATTTTCTACTTGAAGTAATATTCCAATGTATTCCAAATATCCTAAGGGGGATGCTTGGAATACCTATCATAGCTAGGAGAAACACGTGAAAATAACTACATAACTCACGAGAACTGAAGCAGTCAGAGGAGAAGCTAGATTTTGGACACGTTATTGAGGAGTTAGGAAATATTCAATAGAAGTTCGACGAACAGTTTTTAGTTTTATGAACATTTTGTTTCTTTTTTTGAAGAGGTGCGAACGGGAAGTAAATATATTATACACTACCCATGCAAGGCAACTCTCCAACAAAATATATACAAATATATAGGATTAACAACAAACAGTCAATATACCAACCAGCGAGCCGCAAGGTCATACAATGAGACAATCTCCTGTGACAAGGACAAACTCGTGACCTCATTGATCACGATATTGTCACAATGAGACAAACTCATTGTCACAATGAGACAAACAAAGTTGTTACAAATCAGTTCACAATTAAGCTGTCGACAAGTTGTGTTCGCACTGCTTGTTCCCAGTTGTTGTAACAAGCTTGGAACAAGCTGTTAACAACTTGTAACAAGCTAAGCTTGATGGCATTATCAGACTTGTCACAAGGTTGTTCTAACAAATCTGATACAGTCATGATAAACAAGATTGTTACAAGGTTGACGACACAATTAGGTTGTAACAATACTGGCGTCCAACAAGTCCGATACAATCATGATATAGCAGACTGATATATCATGATTGTATCGGACTTGTTGGAACAACCTTGTCAACCTTGTAACAAGTCTGATAATATCAACAACGTAATTGTTACAAGTTGTAAACAGCTTGAATTGTTCCAAACTTGTTGACAACTTGGGACAAGCATGCAGTGCGAACACAACTTGTCAGTGGCAGACTTTCTACAAGGTCGGAAATTTTTACGCGTGTTCATGCCAAGTTTACATGGTCAAACACAGTAAAACTAACATAGAATAAAAATTATGAAGGTAATGTTTAAATGTTTGAACACAAGAGAAAGTATTTGATGGGCTGCTACTTTACAATGAAATCGAGAGACACATTGACAAAAGTCATGAAGGTACTTTATAACTACGAAAAGAGGATACATGCTTCACATGGAGCCAATGCCGGGCAATGGAAGAAAATCCTTTCAAGTTACCAAAGTTGGCATTACTTGGCATGGCATACCTCATTTTATGAATCTTTTATCACTGCACATTCCTTAATTATATGCTTATAGAACGTCTGCCAGTGGGCGTTCAAACGAGAACAAGAGTTGCATGAGAGTTTTAATTGATGAGAGTTGAGAAGCGAGAGGTTGCATCAGAGTTTTCTCAACTCTCATGTCCCGGTCAAACGAGAACAAGAGTTGCATGGGAGTTGATCAGTGGTGCCAAGTAACGAAGACGAAGTAAATGTACTTCGTTACTGCGTTACTGTACTTGAGTAGTTGAGTACTATTTTTGAGAAGTCAGCATGTAACAAAGTAAACTTTTTCTGGAGTACTTTTACTTGGAACGGAGTCGTTTTAACTGAAGTAACGTTTTACTTCGTTATTTTCATTTTGTGGCGAAATATTTCGTTACTTAATTTCTAACTTTTTTTTAATTTTACGTGATTTATTTCTGATTTATTTTAATTTTGGGATAGGTAATAGGACCTCCACATGCGTCTGGGATCTCTCGTTTGTGACTTACTTATAAGCATTATTTATTTAATGGATTTCTTATATCTTCAACGGGGTCTGGAAAGTAGACCATGCCGTGAAATATTGTATATTCGGTGCACGCATATAATGCGTGTGTTGTTTCATTGTGTCTTTTGTATGTCAATCCATTGGAGAAGTCCCCCCCCCCCACAAGCTACAGACAATAGTACTTTTACTTTTTACTTCAGTCAAGTATTTTTTAAGGATACTTTGTACTTTTTCAGTTAAGTACGTTTTGCCTCCGGTACTTTTTACTCTTACTCAAGTCGTTCTATTGCTAATTACTTCTACTTTTACTCGAATACAAATTCAAAGTAATTTAGGCACTATACTGCCCACTGGAGTTGATGAGAGTTGACTGAGAAGCGAGAGTTTCCATGAGAGTTTTCTCAACTCTCGTGTCCTGGTCAAACGAGAACAAGAGTTGCATGAGAGTTGATGAGAGTTGAGAAGCAAGAGTTTGCATGAGAGTTTTCTCAACTCTCATGCCCCGGTCAAACGAGAACAGTTAAGGGTTGCATGACAGTTGATCCCGGAGAGTTGACTGGATATTATCGCGCGCGGAGCGAAACTCTCACCAACAGCTCACTTCAAAATTAAACCAGTTCAAAGCTGATGAGAATATCGGCATGAAAGTCGATAAGAGTTGCCGGTCAAAACGCAAGCGAGAGTTGCGACTCTCAAAAACTCTCATCCTATTATGTAAATTAGTATAGATGATTAATTATTGATTGTACATTAAACGATACCGAATGAATTAAATCAGTAATCAATACAATGGCGGACGTTCACTTTTTCTGGGTGGGGGAAAGACAAAGTCTTCCGATCCTGAAAGTCCGGCAGAACCTATTGAATTTCCAACAAACCCTCCCGATTGTTTTTAACCCTTTTTAGGTAAAAAATTATGTCCGGCTACAAATTATCTATTTCAATACGTTTTGATGTGGTGGTGTTGGACCAATCGTTGATTATAGCCAACAGGCCATTGCCCATGAATTGATAGGAGATCCGAGGTACCTCCGATTTAACGTCCATATCCGAAAAGACGCGAAAGTCTAACCATCTACTGCAGGGGCGAAACTTGAGGGGGGGACCCCCCCCCAAAGTACAAATCATCTGCATTGGCAGGGCAAGACACCCCCTAATTAAAAGGGGCTAGTTTCGCCCCTGATCTACTGATGTCAATGTAATTAAGGTAGCACTTTCTCCTCAATCATTTTAAGTCCTTGAACAGAAGTCCGACAATGATTGAAACCCGCTCCCCTAGTTTGAAAGGCAACAAGAGCTCGTTATATTACTATTAGTAGTTTAGCAAGATTAACTACGCGGGAATATACGGGGTTATAACCTGGGATGGGATTAATTATACATGATACACTTAATAATAACGTTATTGCATGCCTCTATGCCAGATGTCAACAAAAACGCAAACTAATTCAAGCTATCAGTAAGATATTTTGTAAGATGATAGTTCCAAAGATATTTTGTCTAACATTGTAATTACAGTTTGTAGTTAGGCTAGTTATAGCTATCCCTACACCTTACTGTAATGTATTGATTATGAATTGGTAGTGTCTGTCGGACAGATTGCCTGTTGGAATATGATTTATTGTTTAATTGGTCAGTTAATTATTTTAATGTTTGATGATTCGGACGAATGATTTATTGATTAGTGTAACAGTGTTTGATTGCTTCGTCCGGCAAATGATTAATTATCCAATTAATTAAATATAATCAGCGATGTTTACAATTCAACACGCGGATCAACAAGGATAGAATTTTGAAATTCCTGAGCGATACTGTGTTCCGTATTCCGAAATGATACAATACAAACATAAAAGTCCAAAAAGTAGGCTGTATTATATTATTATCTTATACTTCTCAGCTTAGCTTGTCAGCTTTACACGAGTGGGTTCTTAGCACGTCTTAACTTTTCAGTGCTGTTAGCTGAAAATATATAAGTGCTTTCTCAGCTCATCAGGTAATTGTTATTTGAGAAATTTTACTGTCTTTTGCCTCTCTCCTCCGCAGAGGCTTTTAAAGAATATGAAATTCGAAGGGATTGAAATTGCGCCAGAAGGTATCTGCGGAGGAGAGAGGTCCTTTGCGGATGAGCATTAATCCCCTAAGAAAGTGGTCAGGTCAAATGACAAATGCCCACTCTCAAAAATTGCAGATTTGTTAAAAGCATTTGACAGATTTTACAAAGCTGATTTGAGCTACCGTGACGGTACGTATAAATCTGTTGACAAACATGACGGTGGACAATATTATATTTCTATTTCCAAATATGTTCATGTATGTTTAGATGCATGTATAGAGATGCAATATGTTTAGATGCAATATGTTTTCATGTATGTTATAGTTGATTCTGTTCGAATTTATTTTATTATTTTGGTTAGGGTTAGGGTTAGAGTTAAGGTTAGGGGTTTATAGAGTAGGGGTAGGGTTTGGGTTAGTTACATAGCCCCCCACGGCTGTGCACAGGCTACCATTTAAGAGGGTCTTAATGGGGGTCTTTGGGTGTCAGTTGTCAGCTAAAATTTAAGCCAGTTGTCAGTTGTCATTGCAATATATATATTGCAAGCTGTCAGTAGTCAGTTACTGCAAAAAAGCTGACTCATCATTTTTTCATCATTTCTCAGTTGTCAGTTAGGATATTTTGTCACAGTGTCAGTCAAAAATTCAGGCAAATGTCAGTAGTCAGTTAACCTCATTCTGACCCTCATTTAACACCTCTTCCATCTTCCGAAAATGACGTCACCTTCAGTTGGGTACCAGTCACTACAAAACATACATCAATTTCTGATGTTCCTTAATTTTCCAAGCAAATAATATCTGAGAAATGTTATTGTTGGAACAGGTCGGAAAATGTGTGTTGTGAAAAATGTCGGAAAATGTAGGCAAAATTTCTGGAACGATCCCGAAAACACGTTCCGACTACCGCACGACGCTCTCCGAGGGCCGAATGTGGGATCGGTTGTCAATTCAGACCGTGATGCTTTGCGCGGAATTGTCTCGGGTTGTATACCGATCGTTCGAAGTGTGATCGAAACCGACGCCCAGCTAAACCCAAACTTTGCAATTTTCATTCCGAATTAAACTACTGTCGGTTGGTTGTCGAGCAAAGGCATCTCGTTGCTCGTATACGGGCTCGAGCAAACCAAGGAGGCGTTTTTAATCGTTGGTTAAGGCCAACGATCAACGAGGGACGAATATACTGGCCGCATAACACAGCCGAAAATATGGCCTTCGGTGGCTGCTGTGAGAGCGAAGAGGTGAAGGAACAACGAAGAATCAACGATGAAATCGAACGTATGCTACGAAAAGACAAAAAGGACTCGAGAAGGGAGTTAAAACTCTTGCTCTTAGGTAAGTCTTCGAGTTGCTCTCGTGTTTGATTTTGTGTTACAAAAGTTCGTAAGTTTTCGGCAGCTAGTGAAGTATAAAGCTATTGTGTGTATTATACTAATGTTTCCCATTGAAAGCCGAACAGTTGTCATTTAAAAATCTGGTTTGGCGAGAACACAGCTGCTAATATTTTGTTATACGTGCTTTCTTAGGTACTGGCGAGTCGGGAAAAAGTACGTTTATCAAACAAATGCGAATTATACACGGCCAAGGCTACAGCGAAGATGATCGTCGAGGCTACATCAAACTGGTGTATCAAAATATTTTTATGGCCATACACAGTTTGACAAGGGCAATGGAAACTCTAAGAATTCCCTATGCGAATCCCTCGAACGAGGTAAAAGCTTTTAGCAGCTTTGAGCTAAAGAATACACCGTGTTCCTAGCATTGTTTACAAAAAACAACACTGCATTTTGTTTGATTTGAGCTATGCGCCTTTGAACGTTAGCCTGTGCTCAAAATGAATGCATTTCTAATTTCGTTCGTTTTATAACAAATATAGGATTTCGTCGCCGTGGTACGCGGTGTAGATCCTGATTCCGTAACGGCGTTCAGAAAGGAGTATTATGATGCGATAAACAGTTTATGGCGAGATAGTGGAATTCAAGAATGCTACGATAGACGTCGAGAATTCCAGTTGAGCGACTCGTGCAAATAGTAAGCTGAAAATTTAGCTTGAAATTTAAGTATTGTATGCCTACACACTTCTGGTTTTGACCTATATTTGTCTTCTCGCCGTCCTAAAACACCTATCTTTTTAAAAGCGTAGAAAACGCCGTGGTCTTTTTAATAGGATAGGTGTTCTTCGACCGCGATTATTTTATATGAACGGCAAAGCAGATGTGTTTTGTGTTTGCCCAAAACACAACATGCTAGCCATTTTTGCCTGTTTTTATTGCCCATATTTATTCCCATGATGTAGCAGTATTATTCCCATGTTTGCCTAGCGGAACGCACGCTCGTTTGGCCTCGATCGAAACAATTGTATATTTCAAATTTTTATATGTACAAAATTTTATTTTCGTTTAGCTATCTTAGCGATTTGGATCGAATTGCAGCCGCGAGTTACCTACCAACAGAACAGGATGTTTTACGGGCTCGAGCGCCCACCACAGGCATTATAGAATATCCCTTTGATTTGGATACAATTATATTTCGGTGAGTTGAGCCATTGAAATACCTTTATGAAAGTTTTATGGAGAGGAGCAGCCTTCCATATTTGTCTGCTAATGAATGTGAATACATTATAAAAGCCCCGAAGTTCTCGGCTTTCGGAAGCATTGTATTTACAGTCTCTAAGTTTTCACCTAAAAATAGATGTTTTAATATTTTACACCACTTGTGAGGCTGTGATTTTCGCTTCCTGTTGTCCGAGAAATAAATTGGAATCGTTTCGCGGCTCTTCATCCTTCGACCACTTCGAAATTCGACGCCAAGTTTTGGTTCGAAAACTTGCGACTTTTTTCGGGCCGCGTTCTTGACAACTCGACCGGCCGCCAACGCTGCGCGCTTCGCACCCAGATTAAAATAACCGAATCTGCAAGATTTATTCATCTTAAAAGATCTTAGAGTAGCTTTCCAAATTACGAAATGCGTGGGCTGAACGAGTGTAAATAGCCCCGGACGAAACTACTTGCTTGTAAATACGAGACTTATGCGAGCCGCGTACTCGCTTAGCATGCCCAAGTTACGGAGGCCACGCGAGTGCAAAAATTCCCAGGGATTTTCTTTGCAAATCTCCCCCTGGGACTTCGCTTTCTTTTGCAACAAAAATGTTTCGCATCTTGGAAATTTTGCACTTGCGAAGCTGATTTGATAAAAATCAACCGTCTGCTGCTAAACACGGCTTTTGCACCGGACAAGTAATTTCATTGTTTTCGGCATAAAATCAATTTGTGAGTTTCGTTTTTGAAATTTTAACAAATTATTTTCTGGCCTCAAATTTATTGCACTATTTAGAGTGCGCTTTATGCAACTAGGGCTTTTCGTGTTTTGAGTTTGGTTTTTACAAAAATTATAATTTTATGAAAATTATTAAACGCATGCAAAGCTGAGCATTCAGGATTTTTGAAATTATAACAATTTTTGCCAGAAATTTTATTGCATTTAACGTGTGTTAAAGTATTAACTGGGTCTTTATTGTAATAAACGTTTCTGTTTTGATCTTAGAAAAATATCTTATGAAAATGCATGATTGCATGCAAACTGAACACACCTCAATTTTACAAACATATTAAGGCCAAGGTAGCCAAGTCACATGCAAAACTCTTATCAACTCAGCAGCTAAAAGCAGGCTATCTAATCCAAAAGTTATTACTTTTCGACTAATTTTTCACAACTTTTTTCAAGTATCATTTTGTGTGCCCAAACCACAAAGTGTTATGTCATAAGAGTAATTGCTGCATCGATGCTGTGAATGCAATGGGATTTGCCCTTTTGCACGACTACCTGTGCACGGTAACGAAATGCCTTGGGAAGCTGGCAATTAATCTGCTTAAATAGGAGATAAAAAGCCCAAAGTATTAAAATGTACGACAAGGCAAATCGTTGCATTCGTTTGCAAAATTGTGGTTGCCGGTCCTGATCTTATTGTATCTTCTTGTGAAGATCAGTTTTCTGATCATTGTTGTTGACTCAGAAGGTTTGCAAGTTGACATGTAAATTGCCAGAAGGTTCCATAATGTATTCAGATTGCTGTCTCTCTTATTATCAAGCATTGAAATATTCATGAGATTTCATTTGGCCACAGAGATCTTGCATAATCTTATAATAGCTACAACATTGTCGTGATTAAATAAATTTATTCCGGTCATAACTAACAGTATGTAGCTGACAGTTTGGCCACTAAGATATTTGCACCCTGTTTGTTTTAGTGTAGGAGCTGCAAGATTAATCTGTAGTGTTGTATTTAATATATTACAACATTTCGTTTTTATGTTTGCATATTTGAGGAGCAAGCATTGCATAGTGTGTACATCCTTGTTAATATTTTAACAGGCAAGGATATACTTGGAATTTCCTACAAGCATGCACGCTTAACATTAAAGGAATACTGAATGGTTTTCTGTGCAGGATTGCATAATCCATGCACGAGGGATGTCGCGAGACTTTCGGAAAGCGTAAAAATACTCGAGCCGCAGTCGAGTGTATTTTTACGCTTTCCGAAAGTCGAGCAACATCCCAAGTGCATGGATCACACTATCCTGCTTGGAAAACCATTTGGTGATTGTTTTATAAAATAACTACAGTGAAACAATGACATTTTGAAAATCCCGCGAAGGCATTTTAATTTGTCGTGCAGGATTGTCTGATCCTGCATGGCTATTAACCAATCAAATTGCGTGTTTCATTGTAGTTATTATATAATGTTGTTTGCTACAGGTTCAAATTGCAATAATGTTTTTGCTTATGCAACAGGTTTTGCAATCGTACTAAAAACCCTCAAAACATTCTGCTGCTACACAATACACTTTTCACAAGACTTTCTTACAAAGCTGTTGCACAATTGTTGATCTTAGGTCATTCCAGAAACGATTTAAACTCCCGTTACAGTGGAAATTTCTGCCATCCAGGGGACGGGGGAGATCATCTATAATAGTAAAATATACTACACCCTCTGAAAGGGGAGGGGTTGACTCCCAATTTCCTCTGTGGGGGAGGTGTGGCTATTTTGTGGAAGAACCCATTGCAAATTAACCTTATGTATGTGAGCTCAAAAAATGAAAACCGAGGTAAATTATTTGGCACATGATAAGTGCAACTTTTGAAGTAGGCCTTGCATCTTACATCCCCTTCATGTGTAAAAAATTGTCTGGCGTTAGACACTAGTAAAATAATAAAGTCGGGTGCATTTGGGCACACTGTAGTTTAATGGGTTAAAACAACACATTGGCAGATTGTTTGGTGAACCATTTAAAGTGCAAGACCCACCCCTTGACAAATGAAATTGTCTGGCATTAGACAGAGTAAAATAATGAAGCAGGGCTCAATGTTCAAAGCAGATATTTGGCATTCAAATATTTGGACATTTCCAGAAAATCATCATCTCGAGTGCATAAATTAATCCATTGAGGCCAGTTCTCTCCCTTGATGAGTAAAATGATCTGGCATTAGACAGAGTAACATAATAAAGTAGGGGCTTGTTAGGGTGCAGTGCAACTTAATTAAGGGCACATCATTTCAGTTTGCAACATGCATGTTCGTTTTTAAATTTCAAAAGTATTTGATAGACTTTAGTGGCAAAAATGAGATATGAATAACCTGCATTTCAATCTGCTACTTTTGAGCAAACTGTTTGTTTGCAAGTGTAAACAATTTGCATGTTCATAAGGACCTAAATTCTGTAATGAATAGAGCACAATATCATAACATGTGCTGTAATGGTAATCCCACTTTTTTATTGATCTTATGACATGATAGTGCTTGGCGGCAAATGATAGACGGATTAATAAGATTTAATACTTTGCTTCAAAATTGTGTGGGCAGTTTGGAATAAACTACATTTACTACCTGAACTTGATAGTCTTTGACTGCAGACGCATAAACTGAATCGGTATATGGAGTCTGAAAACTGGTGACAAAAACATTGTATGATCATGTGGTCATCATCAGTTGATTGATAATTATGCAAATATAATATGTATTTAGCTAGAAACACTGGTTTAACCCATAGAGTGGCAGTACTCCCCTCGATGAGTAAAATTGTCTTGCATTAGACAGAGTAAAAAATTGAAATAATAAAGTAGGGTGCATTGCCACTTTTAAATGTATAAACATATCAAACATATCGTGCAAACATGCATTGAAAATGTACTTTGAGAATAACTGCACGGAAAAATCTAAAGTTACTCAGCCACTGTGTCAATATTACAGTTTCCTCGTGCAATATTTATATGTCCAATTCACACAATGCAGGCTTCGTGTTGTTTGTCAGTTTTTGTAAGCTTAAGCATATATCTGATCTCTGAGAAGTTAATGTAGCATCATGCTTATTCCTGAGAAGTCTATACAAATCTGCATGACAAAACAAAACTGGCAATTCATTAAGACGTTTCCCTGGGGTGATCTAGATAGAGAATCAGACATGTGTAATTTTAGTTGTGTATGTGTCCTTATCTCTCTCTAAATCTGGGGAATTTTGTCGCGATCACATGTGAGCACTGCCGCCAAGAGGAGGGGCACTTCGCTTCGGGCCCCAGCTCAAAAGGAGGGCCCCCTGCTCAAAAGGGGACCCCAAGCTCAAAAGGGGGTCCCAAGCAACGGAAGTTGTTAAAGCTATTTCTGGAAACAAGATTGCTGAACTGAGAATATCAATCTAAGCTGCGTTAATGTCAGATAATAGTTATGAAGTGTAATATTTTGTAAAACACTACATCTCCCCTTTTACGATCATGACGTCATAGGGCCCCTTGGATAGTTTTGCGCCGGGCCCAGACACCGCGGCGGCCCTGGATGTAAGAAGAGGTTTTCCAGGTTGACTATACCAACACACACCAGTGATCACCACCTATCAAATATAAAGTTTGTTCAGTCGAGTTTGGTCCTCACTACAACGCAAGCACAAGCAAGCGGAACACTTTAATGTTCTTGTGCTTGTGTTGTTCTGACTGTGTCCTCACTGTAATGCAAGATAAAGTGCAAGTATAAGCAATAACATATGCATAAGGAAAAGAACACAACATTTTGATATTCTTATGTTGCATTGTAGTGTGGACAGTACATACAAAATCAATATGTTTGATGATGATCCCTTTTATGCTTTGCTTATGCTTGCATCTTAGTGAGGACAAGGCTTAAGGTGGCAGTTGTAAGTTTTAAAACATTTCTTTGTCTCTTGATCAGAATGGTTGACGTCGGTGGCCAAAGGTCCGAAAGACGAAAGTGGATACATTGTTTTGAGAATGTGACGTCAATTATGTTCCTTGTCGCATTAAGTGAATATGATCAGGTCTTAGTTGAATCTGATAGCGAGGTAAAGTGGAGTATTGTTTTCTGGAAGTACAATTATTAAAAAGTTGAAATTTTTTACTCGCACAGCTGGGTGCACATCGTGGAAATAGAGGGGTTTGTGTGTTACAATTACCACAATTCTGATGTTGCTTGTGACAGCCTAACAACTGTTTGCCCTCAAAGCCTTTCTTACAATGCAAAATGTTTTTGAGTAGGATTTTTCTGAATAAGGAACAGACATCATTACATTATTATTATACTTTTATACTTCATTGTAGTTTAACGTTTGACAGCCTCAATTTATATCAAGTTGTCATTGAGTTCTGTTAGCCCAACCAGCAAAACCTCAAGCTAGAACTGTTGACATAATGGGTTCATCTCCATGTTGGCGCTTTGGAATTTTTCACAAGCATTTTTGTCTTTACAAGTTAAAACATAACAGTTTGTCTTTACTAGCAAAACATAACAACTCTTTCACAAGCTCTTTTTGTCTTTACAAGCAAAGCAAACATATTACTAGCTCTTAAGCTCCAAGCAATAAAACATAACAACAATTGTAACTTCTTATGTTCTTTATAGAATCGAATGGAGGAAAGCAAGGCTTTATTCAGAACGATAATCACCTATCCTTGGTTTCAAAATTCCTCCATTATATTGTTCCTTAACAAGAAAGATTTACTTGAGGAAAAGATTATGTATTCTCATCTAGCCGATTACTTTCCTGAGTTTGAGGGTAAGTCGATCGCATAGTGTTTGTCAAGAGCGGCTTTGCTACAAAGTTACTTTGGCAAGCGTATAATAACCATCACGTGCAGGTTAGGACAATTTCTGTACTGTATAACACTTGTTTACATCCTTCGAACTTGTGAGTTCAATCAGGATGTGGTCATTGAAGGTTTTCAGCTGTATCTTGCAGATGCTTCAATAATTGTTCCCTTGTATATAAGTCGGTGCAAATTGAAGACTTGAGGTTTATTTTGCATTTAAGATAAAATACAACAGTCGTGGAACGTAACTGGCATTACCATTTGCACATGAAAAATTTGTTGCCTGGAATAAAATTCACTTGCCATCAGGTCTGGTTTTGTCCTGACATGTTAACAAAATTTGGAGCGAATGATTGCAGTACGGATTGATAAATCAACATTCTAATCTCAGTTTTCCATATAACAAAGTAAAGAGTCAAAAACAGAATGCATAACATTGATAAGCAAACAATTTTGTGTAGCAATGAATTTCTGGCAAAACAACTTGCCCGTTTGGGCAACCAAGAAGTAACTTCTACTTGCCCATAATGATTTTCACTGTAGGTATTCATCTGGGTATTTACCAAGGATGGGTTGACTACAAAATTTTTGTAGTTCGCTATAACTACAGCTACTTCAAAAATATGTAGTCCGCTACAACTACTGCTACTTTTGAACGAAGGTAGTTCGCTACTGACTACAGCTACTGCTTAAAAAATGTAGCGAACTATCTCTATATTTTTTAGTTTTACGGTATTTGCAGCATCCATTAGCTCAGGCTGTAATATAACCTACAACAAATCGACTTACGAGTAGCAACAGTAAACAAAAAGGGTCAAAGTAACATTTTTATAAGCACTACAGTGTTCAGGAGTGCCACTTTTCATTGCGCTAAAATAATGGTATTTACTGAGGTATTCATCAGTAACTTAAAACTGACAGTTAGAACATAGAGCACCACACAATACGATTGCAAAGCTCCCCATATTCCTTAGACGGCTTAGTTCAACTTCAATCATGCCCAATCAGGCTATAAACCTAATTTCATGCCAGAACATATTGAAGATTGTCGGTCGCATTTACACGTAGCTATTTGATTGCGGTTTTGAATACTTTGAAAAGTTTGCTGGAAAAAGTTTTTCCAGATATTGGGAGGAAGTGTAGAATACAGGGACCGAACTTTCGCGTGCTTCTAGCAACTACTGACCATTTGTTGCGGGTATATTTGAAAAACATGGCGTTGATGGCGACATTTTGAAATGGATCTTCATGGAGCTTGGTTATTTCAACTGTAAAGAAGAATATTTTCTAATTTTGAAAGATCTTTAACAACACAGAAAAACAACAGGTAACTCCACTCTATATGCTAACAGTTGCTAAACTAGCTTTATTTTTATTTGATAGCTCTATCAGGTAGAGACTAGCTGTTCTCCCTAGCGGCCCAGTGAAGATAATAATCCCTTATTGCTTGCTCACGTGAAATTGGATATTACGGAAATCAAATGAAAAGCACATCCAGTCAGCAACAGTTGCCATTCTGCTCCTAATATAGCTCGGCATGTTGAAGGCGTTTAATACATGTATAGACATTTTTTTTTCTGTGTTGGTGTTGTGTACTCAGATGAATATGATGTTTGTGATGTTACTCTGAGTGTATATCCACACCGGACGAGCTTGAAAAATATGCCCGGCCACGGTGGGAATCAAACCTACGACCTTTGGAATACTAGCCCAATGCTCTGCCAACTGAGCTACGCGGTCAGGACGGTTCGAGGGGCTAGTATTCCAAAGGTCGTAGGTTCGATTCCCACCGTGGCCGGGCATATTTTTCAAGCTCGTCCGGTGTGGATATGCACTCAGAGTAACATCACAAACATCATGTATAGACATATTTCGTGTTTTTAAAAAAAAATATTTTAAACCTGGGCAAACAGGGCGGATCAAAGCAGAACTTCACGTCCCATACATGACGTAAAAGGACAACACCTGCGATATTATATGGCGTCAGTATGTGGACAAAGACACCTTCTGATTATTCACAACAATGACCCACGTCCATATTCAACGAGGGTTGCCACGTATAATATCAAATTGACGTTTTTATCTAAAGGGTGTCGAGAGACTATAGACCCATTGCACTAATGTCACAAATCCTTAGAGTGTCCTCCAGATGCTCCCTAACAATATCTGTTCGGATACAACAACCGCATACAGCGCAAAAATTAACCATTTTAATACAAAATTATTATAAAGTTTTACAAATATTTGCTTTGTTCACAAAAGTTATGTTATGCATAGATTGCTAATCAGATGCATCGTCACCGGCGCTGTGACGTCATGTGCAATGGGTCTATTCAAAGAGCATCATAGTTTTGACCCACCCACCCAACACGTCAATTTGAAGTTCTGGCAACGTGAAGATGGATGCGGCCCCTAAATACCTCGTGCAAACGACATCTGTACAATCTCAAGTGATGTTCCTGTAGCCAAAATTGATTTTCCAACGCCTAATCCCCCCCCCCCCCCCCC